GAAAACGAATATTTTTTTTTTTTTTTTTTTTTTATTAACAATTTAAAGTCACATCCACCAAATTGGTTATTAGTGACTACAGGATTAATAGCATTCTACATAAGAATAGTCGAGATATGTAATTGTTAGCGTTTTACATGATTGTGGTATAATATTTTCATTTGCATTGGTATACATGATTGATTCAAGAGAAATAATTGATAGAGATAATTAAATAGTAGATCATATACATATAAATTAAGGAAAGAGAAAAATAAAGGCAGTCAGATTGAATGAAAAAACTTAGTTCTTTTCAGAAGTTCTAGTACACTGTAGCACGATTTTTTTTTTGCAAAATAGTTCGAGTATTCAATTGGAAGGTTGCAACTTTTCTTTCTTCAGCTAGATCCGCGCACTCCAATAGTAAATGTTTCACTGATAGCGACACCGCACATTTTTCACACTTATTTGGTTTGTCCTTAGTGATTAGATGGATATGGGTTAAGTTCGTATGTCCGATTTTGAGTCTTGTTAGAATGACTTGCTCTTTGCGTGTGACATCGAGAGTTGGCCTATTGTCGAAGAAATTTTGTACGAATTCATGAATTTTTAAGGCAGGGGCCTTCTTCCACAGCTCGTTCCAATACTCATTTATGGCAGACGACAGTTCTTTCTTTTTCTCTGTATGAGGGTAGGGTTCAATATTCACAGTGTCATTGGACATAGCTGCTGCTTCCTTTGCGGCTTGATCAACTATCTCGTTTTCTTTGATTCCACAATGTGAAGGTATCCATTCTATAACAATGCTGTCAATTTTATTCCTGTGCTTTAAATCTAAAAGTTTGTTATTGATTGATTTTATTGCAGTATTTTTTGAGTTAACTTCCTTCAATACTGACAGTATACTTTTTGAATCGGAGAAGATGATAAATTTGTTCATATCCATTAGTGCAATTGAGTCGACAGCTTTACTCACAGCGTGAGCTTCAGCTGAAAAAACCGACCATGAGACGGGCAATTTATACTTTTGAATTTCTCCATTAATTAATATAGCACAGCCAGTTCCATTCTTAGATTTCGATCCATCTGTAAATATAGGTGTATGGTCGCTGAAATTGGACTTGATATTACTAAATATTTGTTGTATGGTAGTAGTATTCATTTCATTTTTGACACTAGGAAATTGGTCATCAAGGATGACCATTGGTTCTGCAAGCCAAGGCGGAGAGTTGAGCTGCATTTGAGGTAGGACGGGTCCAATAGATTTTTCCACGCTTTTGAGATATAATTCCACTCTAGCATGTATCGGTATATGCGCTTTGAATGATGAGTAGTTAATGCTGCTATTTTTGAATATCAATTTGAATACGGGGTTGTCTGGTGTCGCTGCTATAGAAGTCGCGTAATTCAGCGTGGTTTGCATACGTCTTATATGTAAAGGAGGAAGTTTCGCTTCACTTAGGATCGCTAATACTGGACTGGTTTTAAATGCTCCTGTTATGATTCTCGCGGCTGCGTTTTGGACGGGTTCCAATGTTTTGAGTAACGATTTACGCGCTGAATTATAGGCTATTGATCCGTAGTCGAGCTTAGTCCTGATGAGGCTTTTGTACGTGTTATTTATAATTTCTAGGTCGGCTCCCCAATTTTTCGAAGAGATGCATTTGAGTACACTCAGTCTTCTGATACATTCGTTTTTCAGGCTTTTTATATGTGTATTCCATTTTAGATGTGCGTCAAATGTCAGTCCTAGGATTTTAACCGTATCGACTATTTCTACGACTGTGTTGCCTATGTTGATTTGAAATTCTTCTAGATCTAGTGCTGCTTTGGAAAATATAGCTAAAACAGTTTTAGTTTTTGAAAAGCGGAATCCCGTTCTTCGATTGAGAGTTTCGAGTTGGTTGATTGTTTTTTGGAGCAGCTGAGCTGTGGTTTTTGGATTTTTTCCTGCAACGAGGACTGTACAATCGTCAGCAAACCCGGAGTAACTGACAGGTTTTTGTATACAGTTCTTGAATAGGTTGATTACTATTAGAAACAATGTAACACTGATAGCTGATCCCTGGGGGACTCCATTTTCAGTTTCGAGACAGTCTGATAACGTACCATTTATTTTTACTCTGAAATATCTCTTCTTTAAAAAGTTGGCGACGAATTTAATTATGTTACCGCCGATTTTGTAGTCTGCCATTAGCTCGATCACTTTCCTTTTCCATATCATGTCATAGGCCTTTTCCATATCTAGGCACAAGGCAGCCAAATGCTGTTTGTTGGCGAAGGCTTCGCATATTTTTGACTCAAGGGTCACTAGCACATCGTTGGTAGACCTGTGGTGTCTGAAGCCATGCTGATTCGGAGAGATTAAATCATTTTTTTCCAAGTACCATCTCAGCCGTTTATTCAATATTTTTTCGAGAACCTTGCATAGACAGCACGTAAGGGCTATAGGCCTATAGCCATCCGTACTGAGCTTATCTTTGCCAGCTTTTGGAATAGGAATAACAGTTGCTTCGAGCCAGCTTTTCGGGAAGGAATTCTTAGTCCAAATCAGATTGTACACTTTAGTTAAATATTCCAGAGCCACTAAGGGCAGTTGTTTGATAAACGCGTTTGGTATTTTGTCAGGTCCCGGACTAGAATTTTTACAATTCTTTAACACTTCTTGTAGTTCTTTTAGTCCTATACAGCTGTTTAAGCTTTCTGAGTCCACTGATAATTCAATGTTATCGAGATCGATTACTTTTTGCTCTTCCTCATTTTTGAATTGTAAAAACTCTGGGTCGAAGTTAGCATCACTCGAGTTCTTGGCGAATGTCGCAGCTAGAAGGTTTGCCATTTCTTTATCGTCTGTGGTTATTGTTTTGTCGGCTTTTGTTAGTGCTGTGATTTTATTCCAACTTTTCCTTCCATATTATTTCAATGTTTTACGCGAAGTAAATAATTGGTTCCATGTTTCTGATACTAAATATATTAAAAAACCGTGGCCCAAAGACTCAAAAGATATACATATATATATATATATATTGTTATGTATTCTCCTCTGATTTCGAACGAAATACGTTGCTAAGCGACTTATTAGTTTTGTTCGTTTTGCTTGTTTTTGTTTTCTCAGTGTGTTTTTGTGTTGAGATGAAAAACATATATTTGTGGTTATTTAAATAAATATGTTCTCGTTCTTTTTATAACAAAGTTATTGTTATTTTGTGTCAGTGTACGTGTGAGTGTAACATTTTGGGGGCTCCGCCGGGATTTCCAGATGTCAGGAAAAACGCCGCGCACACCAACGCATGTACCATTCCAGACAAAGACAAGAGCACAAATTGCCGCGGAGGAACAGGCCACTGCAATTGCTATTACCAGTGCCGAGATTGCTGCTATGGCCGACGTTGTACTTGTTAACAATGACGCCGCTGCTCCTATTGAACATCGACCGGAAAATCAAATAAGACCTACTAAAAATACAGGTACTGTTGCTCACACTAATACTAAAGCTGCTCATGTCGATTCAGGGGACGACTCGACGGCTGACGGCAGGGAACAATGTCCGGGTAGTGATTGCGGACGTTTTGCCAACGCCGCTAACGGTCGCAGATGCCTCGGGTGCGCTGACCGATGAGTTGCGGGCGGTGACTGAACCCGTCCTCGCGCCTACGGTGACCGATATCCCGTTGCCACAAGCTACTCTCCAGAAAGCGCTGTTAGCACTCAACGATGCAAGGGTTGAACTCGATAAGTACCGAAGACAACTGGAGGTTATGCAAACCGAACGAGAGGCCGAGCGAGCATATCGTGGACAATTAGAAGAAAGGTTACAACATCGCAGTGTCGAAGAGCAGAATGTTACGACGGAGCTACGTCTACGCGATGCTACTGTAGTTGATCGTCATCGAACCATTGATAATCTACAGTCGCAACAATGTTTTCTTGAACAACAACTGACCCAGTTCCGTCAACAACTAAACCAGATGAGTTCCTCTTCCTACCTTACTACACAAATTACAACAATAACGAATACAGCGAATACAAGTAACACGTGTACACAACAGATAAGGTTAGATAATAGAGCAAATAGGGAGATAAATACACCTATTGTAAACTCAGCCGAATCAATTGAAGTAGGGTTAGGCTATAACTTCAAACCTGACACTTATGATGGCACAACTCCTCTATGTGAATACTTAAATCAATTTGATTTGATTGCAAGAGCTAACGGGTGGAGAGATGAAAAGAAAATGATAGCATTAGCATCTTCTTTACGTGATAAGGTAAAGGGTGTATTGAGTAGCTTTACCGATATGGAAGTTTTGGATTTGAAATCATTATTGGAAAAACTAGAAGCACGATTCGGTGAACATTTAGAATCAAGTAGTTATTTCTTGTTTCAAAATAGAAGACAGAAAATAGGCGAAGATCTTCCAACATTAACTGCTGATATCGAGAAACTGGCATCGTTAGCTTATCCTGAATGTTCATTAGAGATTCGCGACAAAATTGCTTGTGCTCAATTTATTATAGGTATCTATCATACTGGGGTTAGAGAAGTTCTTCAATTGGAGCGTATCACTTCTTTGAAAATAGCTTTAGCTCGTGCTCTAGAAGTGAAATCGATCAAAGAAAGAAACAAGATTCCCGTCTTTCGAAGTACGCGAAATTTTCAGAATAACCCAAGTTCTTCAGAAGATAAATTTCCAAATGAAGCAAATAGTATAGATAATGGCAAACAGAGTCAACCATTCTGCTAAATATGATTTCAAAATTTTACACCGCTAAGGTACGTCACATAGTAATGCAGATGGTTGTTCTAGACGACCCTGTAGTAATTCTTCATGTAGATACTGTTTTAATATAGAATCACAGTATGCACAGGTGATTGTGTAGGGCGAATTGTCTTCAAAGAAACTCCTCATTCAGTTTGGAAAGATCTTCAATTTCAGGACGATGTCATTCATACTATTTTAAATAGTTAAAAGAAAGGTGAAAGATTATCATGGCAAGATATTTCTTCTGAAGATGAATACATGAAAGTGTATACATCTCAATGGGACTCCTTAGTTATTTTAGATGACATCTTGTATAGAGAATGGATTTCTTCTAATTTGAAGTCAAAAGTTCTTCAATTAATAGTACCTAGAAATTATATCAACACGGTTTTGGAAGAGGCTCATGATTCCCCTTCTAGTGGTTATTTTGGTGTTAATAAGACACTACAGAAGGTACGGAAAAGATTTTATTGGGCTTCTTATAAGAAAGATATTGAAAATTGGTGTAGATCTTGCTCGAAGTGTATAACAAGAAAGGGACCTTCGGATAAATGTCACAGTAAGATGAAGATCTACAACGTAGGATTACCTTTCGAAAGGGTTCAAATGGATATTTTAGGCCCTTTTCTGATTTCTTCTTTAGGAAATAAATACCTCTTAGTCGTAACAGATTGTTTTACAAAATGGGTAGAAGTTTTTCCACTCTCTAATATGAGAACAAAAACTATGGCCGAGATATTTGTTCGTAAAATTGCGTGTACGAGGTGTGTTCAAAAAATACCCGGAATTTTTAAATTTCGCGGGTCTGGAGAGTCCAATTGTCAAAATTTTTTTTTATTGTGTTGGTATACATGCCCCTGAAGTATGATAAAATTTTCAGCTATATTCACTGATTACTTTGTCTGCGGTAGTCGCTAAGGTTTGACGTGTTTTTATGAGCTCGGCGATTTTCGTTTTTTAAAAGAAATGGATCAAAGAATTTGTATTAAATTTTGCGTAAAAAATGAAATAAAGTGTAACAAAGTGTGTGAAATGTAATAAAAAGCCTATGGTGGGTCTGCTTTGAAAGAAACACGTGTTTACGAGTGGTATAAGCGTTTCCAAGATGGCCGCGAAGACGATGAAGATGACGAACGCTCCAGTCGACCCAGCACGTCAACAATCGATGAAAATGTGAAAAAAGTGGAAAAAATGGTTCTGAATGATCGTCGAATCACAATTAGAGAAGTTGCTGATGAAGTTGGCATATCAATTGGCTCAAGTCATAACATTCTTTCAAATGTTTTGGGTATGAAACGGGTGGCAGCAAAATTCATTCCGAAACTACTGAACTTTTACCAAAAAAACAATCGCATGAACATTGCTCAGGAGCTATTAAACGACGTCAACGATGATCCAAGTTTGCTTGAAAGGGTCATAACTGGTGATGAAACATGGGTGTATGGTTATGATGTCGAAACCAAAGCACAATCGTCCACCTGGAAGCATTCAACGTCACCAAGAGCGAAAAAAGCACGTCAAGTTCGATCAAATGTGAAGGTTTTGCTTACAGTTTTCTTTGACTGCAGAGGCGTGGTGCATCATGAGTTCTTATCACAAGGTCATACGGTTAATAAGGAGTATTACCTTGAAGTTATGCGACGTTTGCGTGAAGCAATCCGAAAAAAACGCCCCGATTTATGGAAAAACAATTCATGGCTTTTGCATCGCGATAACGCACCTGCTCACTCGTCGTTACTTGTTCGTAATTTTTTGGCCAAAAACAATACCGTAGTCGTGCCCCAACCTCCATATTCACCATATATGGCTCCGTGTGACTTTTTCCTGTTCCCAAAGTTGAAGAGACTCATGAAAGGACGGCGTTTTTCCTCGATTGAAGAAATAAAGGCCGAATCGCTGAGAGTACTCAAGGCCATACCAAAAAGTGAATATCAAGAGTGCTTCAAAGATTGGAAAAAACGCTGGCATAAGTGTATTATATCTGGGGGGGGTTTACTTTGAAGGGGACCACATTGATGTAAACGAATAAATAAATATTTTTTTCGAAAAACGATAATTCCGGGTACTTTTTGAACACACCTCGTAGATACGGAGTTCCTCTTGAGGTTCATACTGACCAGGGTCGTAATTTTGACGCTAAACTAATCAAGCAACTATCCCAATTGTTAGGTATACAAAAGACTAGAACAACACCGTTACACCCACAATCAGATGGCCAGGTAGAAAGACAGAATAGGACAATAATTGACTACTTAGCTAAATACATATCAGATAATCAAAAAGATTGGGATCGTTGGATTGCCTTGTACCTTTTAGCTTACAGATCTTCTGTTCATGCCACAACTGGAACTAGTCCAGCTGAGATGTACACCGGTTCAGACCTGAGACTTCCCTTAGACTTGATGCGCGGACGTCTTCCTGAAGTAGAGAATCCTTACACACGAGAAAACTACGTACACAAACTCAAGAACGACATCGACAAAATACATGATTTTACAAGAACACACATCAAGATTACATCACAACGATCAAAGAAATACTACGATAGAACAGCTCGACACATAAATTTCACAAATAACCAAAAAGTATGGTTTTTCAACACTCGACGGCTCAAAGGAAGGACACCAAAACTCCAGAGTAATTGAGAAGGTCCTTTTAAAATTATCAAAAAGATCAATGATGTAGTCTTGTGTATCCAGAAGACTCCACGACATAAAAAAATGATTGTCCACATTGATAGATTAGAGACATACCACGATAGGTGAATTCTTCTGCTCTGCCCACGGTTTTTGAGTCGTGGTTTTCCCGTGAGCTGTAGAGCGAATGCTGGAGCAGGGATGAAGTTGCGGTACCACGACAAGTTAACCCCCCACTTCTATCCAAGAATTACCTAAAAGATAGATGTTCACCGATGATTCCCTGATGTTACCTGGATTTGATAATTCTATATTTTAAGAGACGGGTCCTGTGACTAGATAAGTCAAGGATTAACCCGCTTAAAAATAGAAAATTTTTAAGATTTTACGATTTCAAGTTGGTGATGCGTTGATTTCAAGAATGAAGATGGATCATCTTTTCAAGAGACGGGTCCTTTGGCCCGGATCAACCCGCTTGAAGAGGACGGTCTTTCTTTCGATTGTAAGATTGTCGGGGCGACAATCTAAAAAAAGGGGGAATAATGTTATGTATTCTCCTCTGATTTCGAACGAAATACGTTGCTAAGCGATTTATTATTTTTGTTCATTTTGCTTGTTTTTGTTTTCTCAGTGAGTTTTTGTGTTGAGATGAAAAACATATATTTGTGGTTATTTAAATAAATACGTTCTCGTTCTTTTTATAACAAAGTTATTGTTATGTTTTGTGTGAGTGTATGTGTGAGTGTAACAATATATTGTGACGGTAAACGTCTTATTAGCGCTAACAGCCAAACCATGCGGCTGCCTGCGAGGGCAGCACTTACCGGTTGAGGCAAATGTAATGAGGGAATTCGGCACGCGACGAGACGGAACGCGCGCGTATGAAAATGAACCAGTCTAGGATCAGCTATCGATATCTTAGCTGCTGCTAGTAACAAAAGAGAGTTTTCACCAAGTTTTACAGAGTGCCGAGACGAACTGATTAGAGCAGAGATAAGCTGTTCCTTCGCCTGACGGAGACGAACGCGTGTAAGCCTGTGTGAGTGTGAAGTTTCGCCATCGTCGGCGAAATCGAAAGCGAGAACCGTCTGGTCACGGAAGCGGACTGCCCCGAGATTTGGTTGCGAAATTTTTCTTTCTCGTTCACCGTACGACTGCTAATAAGGTAAGCTGGCCAGCTTAATTTCGCGACTGCTATAGAATTGCCGATAACTAATCTCTCGTTCTCCATAAGAAGCGTGCATGTATCAACCCGGTGAACAAAGAGCGGCGAGTGATCCGACACTGCATGTTATTGTCGCGCGCGCGCTTTGTAAATATAAACACGCGGGCCGAAAACATTGTAGAAGTAAGAGATAATAAACGATCTCGCATGTGATATTGACCGTAATTCTGATACACTCCTCGCAAAAATTAAGGGAACAAAAAAATTTGTCAAATTTTTGGCTAATTTTCAACAGGCGGTATTTCAGTGAGAAATGGTCGTACAGGAAATAAAAAAATAAAGCTGTTGAAGCTTGAAGACTCTAGTTTTTAGTTTTTTTTGTTAAAAATTTTTTGGAGCTCCGTATTTCATGCAATCCTTATACAAAGCGCAAAAAAAATTTTATCCAAATTTTATCCAAATTTTTTACATTTTGTTTCATACTCTACGGGCATAGAAAAATTTGTTCGAGCTACGCCAATACATAGATCTTTTAGCCTATTTATTCCGCTTCACGCTGCATTTCGCGGAGCTCAATTACGATCATTTGTCTCCGAGATATCGAACTTTGAATGCAAAAGGATCCTTTTGCATTCAAAATTCGATATCTCTGGAACTACTAGTCGCACAGCGAGCGGACACCGAATTTCATCATCTGCATAAAATTTCGGATGAAATACAGTCAAACGTTAGTAGAGAAAAATTTTTTTCCATTTCTAACATTGAATTGAAAAAAGTGAGCAAAAGTGACATTTTCCCCTTTTTTGGTTACTTGACTGTATCTTCAGTAATATGGGCGGAAAAGGTACGGTTTAAGAGAAATTTTACAGTCTAATATTCCCCAAAGAACCTCCTAAATTTTTGGAGCGATCGGTTCTGCGGTTTTTCCGGACCAGTAGATCAAAATTTATAAAAAATTAAAGGAACAAGGTTTTTGTTCCTTAACTTGAAGTAAACTTTTTCAAAATTCAAAAATTGCATTTTTTTTTCGTTTGTTTACACAATTTTGTGTCTGTTTACGATTAATTTGGAAAAAAATTGAAAAAAAACATTTTTTTTCAATAAGAAAAAAAAGCCATCGTGATTGATGACTGATTTACCCTTGAAAAAAAAATTTTTATTTTAATTGTGTAACGAGTGTCGCTCGTTAAAAGTAGCGCCTAAGCGCTTCCATCGCGTGGGACAACGCAAAAGCCGGCCCGCGAGGACAAAGCAGAAAGCGGGAAGTGGAAAGTGCCCGCGAAACGAACGAATGAAAGAAAGTGGGAGAGAGGACAGAGATTAGGGCATCGGTCACCGCGTGTTAAGCGCGCGTAACATGGGACAGTGGGAAAAGTGGAAAGGAAAACGAGAGCGATTAGGCCGCCGGCCGGCGTGCGCGAGGCGCGAAGAGAGGAGAAGAGCGCGTGGCGGCATGCGAGTCCGAACCTGCGGATAGATAAGCACGTGTGACAAGTGACTAGAGAAACGAGATCGAAGAACTCCTCGACCGATATCGAGTAAAGGTCCGACAGTTCCAAGTGAGCAGAGAATCCTAGCCGAGGGAAAGATCGTCCACTGCCCATTATAGCCAGTTGCCCAGAACGATCTGAGGCGACAGTCGAGGATCGCGGGCAACGTTTTTAACGTCTTCTGTGAAGCAAAACGTGATAAAAAAAAACAGTTTTTTTCTAAATTCTTCGACCAGTAAAAAACCACTCAACAGTTTTTTTCAAAACTAAACTTTTCTTTTCGTAAATTCTAAAGAACTTTTTGACAGCTGCTTGATTCTCGTAAACATTAATTTTTTTCATAATACCTCCGAGGCTGCATTTATCTGCCCCAGAAGTCGCTCAGCTGGTAACTCTTGTTCAGGAGGGGTATAGGTATCGGCAGGTGTGTGAACGACTTGGTGTCAGTCCCTCGGTAGTGTCTCGTGCCTACAACCGATACCTGGAAACAAATCGAATCGAGCGACGCCCTGGACAAGGCCGACATCGAGAGACGACTCGCCGAGACGATCGAGCAATCATTTGACACGCCCTTCAAGAACCTTTTGCTCCAGCAAACATCATCGCCCAAAACTTTCCCAACCGTCAACATCAACGACAACATCAACGACAACAACAACAACAACAACGACAACGACAACAACAAAGACCGCCTCGAAACATTTCTCGAACAACAGTAAGGAATCGCCTTCACGAAGCTGGACTGCGTGCTCGAAATGCTGCTCGTGGGCCGATGTTGACCGCTGCACATCGTAGAGCTCGTTTGCAGTATGCTCGTAACCATGTGAACTGGCCCATGAGAAACTGGAACAATGTTCTTTTCTCAGATAAATCTCGATTTTGTCTGTATGGTAACGACAGAAGACCTTGAGTTTGGCCCCGTACAGGAGAACGTTATGCACAACGCTTGATGCGTTCAGTAGCCGCTTACAATGGAGGATCAGTAATGGTTTGGGCGGGAGTTTCACGAGTATCTCGAACTCCTTTGGTTATTGTTCGAGATAACCTCAATGCCAGGCGTTATATCGATCACATTCTGAGACCTCATGTGTTACCAATATGGAGAAACGCGAGAAGATTCATTCTTATGCAGGATAAGGCAAGGCCTCATACGGCGAACATCACTCGTCGATTCTTCGAGAGAAACGGCATTCAGTTGTTAAGGCATCCTGCAATGAGTTCTGATCTCAATCCAATTGACCATGTCTGGGACATTTTGGGCCGCCGATTGCGTCAGAGTTACCCAAACCTCCGAAATTTAGCTAAATTAGAGATTGCTTTGATAAGAGTTTGGCGTCATATTCCTCAGCGGATGATCCGTAATTGCATTTCCAATATGCGGCAGCGATTGCAAGCTGTGATTCAGAGTAGAGGCGGAAATACTCGAAACTAAACACACACGCACACGCACATACACTTCGGAAAGTGAGTTTGGAGTGGTAAAATACTGTGGAGCTGACGAGCCATGGGGTCTCTTCTTTCCAAAAATCATTCGCACACGTGCGTAAGCACAAAAGAAGCATAAATCCGACCGAGCAACCTCCACGTGGTATGCTTTGGATAACGCTAATGTCGGCGGTAAATCGGTCATGAATCGTTAGAGAACAATATTTTATAGTTAGTAGAAAAAATTTTTTTTTATTTTTGAAAAATGTTTTTTTGATTTTTGAAAAAAATGTTTTTTTTCAATTTTTTTCCAAATTAATCGTAAACAGACACAAAATTGTGTAAACAAACGAAAAAAAAATGCAATTTTTGAATTTTGAAAAAGTTTACTTCAAGTTAAGGAACAAAAACCTTGTTCCTTTAATTTTTTATAAATTTTGATTAATTGGTCCGGAAAAACCGCTGAACCGATCGCTCCAAAAATTTAGGGGGTTCTTTGGGGGACATTAGACTGTAAAATTTCTCTTTAGATGTACCTTTTCCGCCCATATTACTGAAGATACAGTCAAGTAACCAAAAAAGGGGAAAATGTCACTTTTGCTCACTTTTTTCAATTCAATGTTAGAAATGGAAAAAAATTTTTCTCTTTACTAACGTTTGACTGTATTTCATCGGAAATTTTATGCAGATAATGAAATTCGGTGTCCGTTCGCTGTGCGACTAGTAGTTCCAGAGATATCGAATTTTTAATGCAAAAGGATCCTTTAAGCGGAATAAACAGGCTAAAAGACCTATGTATTGGCGTAGCTCGAACAAATTTTTCCATGCCCGTAGAGTAAGAAACAAAATGTAAAAAATTCGGATAAAATTTTTTTTTGTGCTTTGTATAAGGATTGCATGAAATACGGAGCTCCAAAAAATTTTTAACC